GAACCCTCACTCCGCGCAAGGGTGATGACCGCACCACGTTGTGTTATAATGGTCAAGCACCCTCGAGGCAGTTACACAGTGCTAACAACTGTCTCTGGAAGTGAAAGCACCAGAAAATATAGTAAGTCATACACAGCTGTCATCCGTACGCAAGGAAGTAAGCACAAGATGCCGAACACCCTTAGCAGGATGCAGCGCACCCTTCATGCGACTCGCCGAATATCTCACGGCGCTTCGCGCTTGGTGATGTGAGAGCCTGGTCCGGTGAGAACCCGGCGTGCTCCGTCCCGGCTTTGTAGGGATGCGAGGTCAATGGTCTAACGACTACGGCATGCACGACTATGAGTACGCCTCCCACCCCCGGAAACGAAACCAGGCTGCGTTTCGAGGCTACCGCCTGCGTGAGCGCCTACGCCGCCTGCCCGCTAGGGAGGCGGAGAAGCACATATTGGGCTTGCACAACAACGCTCGCGGCTTCCGGCGGGTGGGCCTCTTCTTGCTGTTTTCCGGGCTGTACTTCGCCTTGGTCTTCTACGGAGTCGACGTGTCTTTCCAGCGCTCTGTGCAGCAGGCCCTAAGGGATCACGTTGCCGGGGTGAGTCCGGGGGGGGGGTAGGGCGGGGCAGCCGTGGTCATTGTATTGCATTCACGAATAAGAGGCGTGTCTCGCCCCCTTCGACCCCTGTTTGGACGCAATAGTTAGAAGCGGGGTTTACTTTTTTCCACAACGCAACGGGTGACGGAGGACATGCGCCTCGTAGGTTACGTGCGAAGGGCGGTCGTGTAGAGGTCTCCCCAGAGCAAGCACGATGATGGTGGTATTTCGTTTTCTCTTGAAGCTAGGGAGTATTCCTTCTTGCTCTCGATGACCTTGCTGTTGGCGCCGACAGCTTTTTCCTGTGGTGTTTGCTTTCCCCTGGTAAGACAGGTTAAGTACGGTCCGGATCTGGACAAGACCCATCATGACGTCGCCTCCCTCGCGGATGTTCACCAGTGGGTTCAGGTGGGCAAGGAACGACGGAGGTGGTATTTTTTCGTCTACCCGGTCGATGTTTTTACCGGGTTGTGTGCTTCCGCGAAGCAGCGATCTTCGTATCATAAACAAGGCATTGCGTGTGCAAACGTAAACACGGTGATTTTTGCTATCATCGCTCGTCGGGCTGGGCCCCTGCCTCTGTTGTCTTCCTTCACGGTTACTGGACGTTTATGCTTCGCATCTCCGGCCGTTGCTTCGAGCTGCACCATCATCAGCACGTGCATAATAGCCACTGGACTTTGACTTTGGCGGTGGTACTGGCAATTGGTAGGGTTGGGTACTGGACCAGTACGTACTGCCAGTGCTTGTGTACTGGCAGCACACTGCCAACCGTTTTAGCCAGTACGCCGTACATAAGCATCTTTATGTACGTCCCTTAATACGCCTCAAGAACCAGCGGAAACCCATTTATGAACGCAGACCTCTTCTGACAACATCAGGCCGCCTGCTGAAGCAGACAGACCGTACTCGAACCACACAGCTACGCAGACCACAAGACGATGGATAGGTTTGTCTCCTCTGGCAGATCGTCGTCTGCTGCAAACCCCGGCAGTGTTGCTGATGATCCAGGGGCTGCTGCGTCAGCACGAGCTGGTTCGTTTGTTGCGCCCCTTTTTCTGGCGTTTCTGCTTTTGTTTCGTTTGCCTTTTTATTTTACTTGATTCTTTTGCTGTTTGCACAGCAGGTAGCAGCACTCTGGCTGGTGGTTTCTTCCAGGTTTCTTGGCTACGTTCAGGCCTGCCGTGTCGTTGTTTTCTCGTTTTTTCTTTTGCGAGAGGCTTCCGATTTCCTATGATTTTCTGCTTCGTTGCTTGCATTTCTATTCCTCCAACCGGTGAGTTTGGTGGAACTATGGAACATTAACATTGAATGTCATTCACAATTCATCATGTTACTATGATAGCCATTTTAACTCGTGCATGCATACATACGTCTCCCACGATCTTGGAGTTTGTGGGCATTACAAAGTTTGAAATTTGTGCCACGTTCCCTCGTGCCGAAACCCAAAAAATTTGAGCGTTGTACCCCAAGTTTCTATCGTTTTGCCCGCGATATTGCCTGTATCAGATGGCCCAAAATCACCCAAAAAGATACTGATTGTGAAGCCAAATCGCGTAAAAAAGCGGCTCCGGCGGGGCGCCTCCAGCGGGGCCCCTCACCAGCTGGGGGGCCGATGGTCGCGGGACCAGTGTACTGATCGGATCCAGCATACTCGCTGTTGACGCAGCCAGTATTCAGGATCCTGACTGGCTTTGCCAGTACCCAACCCCAGCAATAGGAGTGTGTGTGGAGATCGTACCTTCTTGCACGTCTTGCGAAGAGAGGCGTCATGCGAGGAGAGGGGCTGAGACTGCAGATGTAGGGCGCGGAATAATAACGGGAATTGTTGGAAAAACCGGAAAGGCATCCACGTACCCCTCAAAAACCCGCAGACTCCATCCAGCTTGACAACATGGCCACCTCATTGGTTCGTTGGATACACCCGAGAACTCCCTCCGCCGCTACGCCGATAGGTCATAACGCTCGATGGTGTTCCTTCTCTTCGCCTCGCTCTCCTGTTTCTTTCAGGCACAGTTATATTATTCGCTTTGGAGTGCACTCCGGTTGTGTGTTAAGCCGGTTATGCCAGCCAAAGCCTCCGGCTGTTCAGCCGCATGGGTTTCAAACAAACGTTGTTATTCTTCCCCACAGCAAGTTCCCCGCTTCTGTCATGTTTTTCTCGAATGCCATACCCACCGTAGCACGCTGTTTCGGAGCGCTTCTCTCACTCTCCATATGCTTGTCTCGTCTGTTTCTTGGCTTTCTCTGTCTCCGTGTCCGTCTCTGTTTATCTCTCCCTATTACTCTCTCTCTCCATCCCTCCCTCCGCACGTGTCTCTCTCTCCTTCTTTTGGGGGCGGGTCACCCAAACCCTGGGCACTACGAACAACGGCCAATACGGACCAAGCGCGTAGGCCTTGTACCTGAAGACTTACGACGGCACGCAACTGGAGCACCCTTGTACACCTTGCGCCATCAAGCCCCCGGACGATGTCTGTGATGCGTGCGACTTCACTTCCGTATACGAAATGTTCGCCCAAGATTCGGATTCTTCTTCAGCCGATTCTGTCGGCTCCGAAGGGGAACCCAGCTCTGGCGAGGCGGTAGCAGCGGCTTGGAACGGCCGCAGGAAGATGTCAGCTGCTTCCGGCGACAGCAGCAGCAGCAGTAGCAGCACTATGGGCCTGTCTGAGGAGTGTGTGCAGTGCCTGGTGAGCGGGGGTGATATACAAGGTCGTGAATGTCGTCGTTTTTGCTGCGGCCAATTGCTTCGTTCGGAGGTCATCGGAGTAGGGCAGCGCGACAACCCCTGCCCAGCCCACCGGGAAGAGGCACAGCCCCTTGTACTTAACGTTTCGCCGCCCTCCCCTCCCCTCCCGTCAAACGAACGCCTTCTACGATGGGATGGGGTTGGCGAATGCATGAATGTCTGTCGACACACCACCAGATCGCGACCAACTGCGTCGGCGTTTTCCTAGAGAAGTGCGAAGAGGTTCTAGGGCTACCCTCCTCCAACACCACCGCCTCGTCGTCCACAACAACGTCGGGAGCGGCGGCGGCCAATTTCTCCGCTCTTCTCGCGGAACTAGATCTTGAGCCCTCGGGCGGGGTTCGGGCCTCCGGAGGCTACGTGACCATCGACAACGTGAGGGATGAAACGTACGTCGTGCGAATTTTGTGAACTGTTGTGGAGAACCTCGTTGACGGACGCAGCGCTCCCTTTCTTTGTCTGCATATGGGGTGTCGTTCCAAGTAGAACGTCGAGGTAAACCTTTTAGACCCTGTGCGCACCACTTCCTTCCGAGATAATTTGGTGTGAAGATAGCGTAGTCGTTCCAAGTTGTGAACCTGTGCTTGTTTGCAGCTCTCTTGTGTGTTCGTTTCTCGTCACAACAGTGGAAGCCCAATCGCACAGAGGCATTACGACTTAGCCACATCCGCCCGCATCCGGTGTTCGCACTCCTGCGTGTCACTCCTATGTTGGCACGTAGAGTGGCGCCGCACTCGCTTCATCTTCCGCCGGTTACAGGAGTGTCCCGGAAGCATCCAGTTGTCGACAGCGGCAACGGGACGGCTGCTGTCATTTTATATATACATACGAAGTATATATTTGCTCTTGGACGGAAGTGTATTTTGTGGTGCTGGTCCACACGCGGGAGAGGCTACCGGCAGTGCCCCATTTGACACACATACAGAGCGTCGGCGTTGTGCAACCGCTGCAAGCACGATGACCAGATTGGTCCAGACGGGACGACCCGATGCCGCTCCACGCATGCAAAATAACTCTGTGTGCGCGAACACCACCACCAGAGAATGCACCTCAGAAGACAGCATGCTAAGTATTTTTTGTGCTTGGTGTCTGCATATTTTTATTTGCCGTCTAGCCCGCGCCCACAAGCGAGCGCCGGTGAGATCAAGGTTCATTTGGCGTCCTCTTTCTGAGAGCGCTCCACCCGGCCTAGTTGTGATGACTCCTGCTGTTCTTTCGTGGAGCACTTGCCCTGCAGCAACGTGTTCATGGGAGACCCACGAGCCGCCAAAATCAAAGCAGACAGGGGCGCGTGAAGCCCTTGTGACGCTTCAATTCAGATAGCAGGACTATTTCTCGCTAGTGTCACGCGCATCCATGTGGCCTCTCCCAGATGTGGCTCTGTGAAGTTGGCGCTTCGGGTTAACACGACAGCACTTGCGGCATTTCGGGCGTCTCGCGTCTGTATCCTTGCTCGTTGCCTTTTGCTTCTTTGCTGGGGAGTTTTTTCGGTGTGCTCCCTGGTGTTTTTTCACGACCTCGGGACTTGTTCGCTATGTCTCAAGGAGTAGGGGAAAATTTTGATATCCAGACAAGACAACGACGACAACATCAACAACAATGAGCTTCCGCCTCTACTCCTGCGCTGTTTTGGCCCGTGAACTTGACAAATGATCCAGGCGACCCAGTGCGGCGACTTCGACCTAGACTGGGGGCACACGGAGAGTTTCGGGCGTTTCTTATTCGGCCTGAAGGAGCGTGATGTGTTAATTGTCGACGCGTACGCGCATGGTGTAAACGCGCCCGTTGTGGTTGCCGGTTGCGGTTCCCGTTATTCCCGCGCGTCTTTCTTGCGGACAGTTGGTGTAGGGAGGGAGACCGTACGCGCATCGGCACGCATCTGGCCTAGGGTGTAGCTCTTTTCCCAGCGAGCTACATACGTGGGTCATCATAGCTGTGTTTTTGTGCATGGTGCATGTGCCCTGTATATGCAATGCGCTCTCCGCTGGATAGCCGTCTGTGGCATCGTTCGGTAAAGCGGGTGCGAAAACCGATCGGCACTTGCTCTCTGTTGTTTGCTCGTCGCTGGTGTGTGTGTCCCGTTGTCCCGGACGTCTTGGGTGTCCCCCCGCCGTCTGGTTGGCGCATCTGGCGGCATGCCGGATTGCTCCAACCTAACATGTCAAAATTTCAAAGTTTCCATTCCAAAATTTCCACTCAAACGGGACTGACTCCGGTGAGCCCAAGGCCCGCCCTCTTTTCCCCTAGCTCATGCCATGTTTTCGCATCCTTCTGGTGCTCTTGTTCGACAGCTTGATTACGGCGGAAACGGGTACGTGGGCGACAGAAACCGAGTAATCGGCGGGATGCTGGTGAGTGCGTTGAGCCGCATGCGATCATAGATCTTGGCGGGCGGATCGGTGTTGGGTGGGTTGAGTCGTACCGCGACCGGACACACCAGGATCTTTTCGGAATAGTTTTCACTGGTAAAACCTTGTGTAGTTTTTGTTCAAACTGCTGTCTCCGAACCAGCTGGGCTGCTACCCTAACGTGTTGCGCGGATGATCTTGCCTCTTTGAATGCTACCGTGCTAGCTCCTGGTATTATTTTTTCGTGTATGGAGACCGAATATTCCCGCATTCCCCGCCCACGTTCGAAAGAAAGAGATGCGCGGGCGGAATTTTTGGTACTCTGCCACCACCTTCGCTGGGTGGCCGCTGCTGTTTTCACGTGCTTTGAAGCTTTCGCTCGTTTCCCAACTTGCTACAGCGATTATGCCCCCCCCCCCCCC